AAAGTGTACATCTTGCACCCCAACATTTTTTGCCCATAAGATAAAAAGTACATAATACATATTTCTTGTGGTACACTCTTCCAGTCATAATTTCCAGTGTCAGGTATCCCTATATCCATCTTCTCATATAGTATGTTCTGGCAATAAACTGGGCTTTTCAACTGATTTTCTTTGGCAACTAATACATTAGAAAATGTGATGCAAACAGGGCTTTGGAAAGTGATTGCCATTGGTGCTTGCCTTCTTAGACACAGTTATGTTGTAAAGAAGCCTGGGGCTATGCTGTTGGAGACACAGGACCAACCCAAGAGCCAGCAAAAGCTACAGGACAAGTGAGTGATGACATCTTAAACCAACCAGCCTCAGTTGAGGCACAAGCTTACTGAAGCCTTATTTGTAATCCAGGCAACACTAATATAGAAACTGCCCACTTGAGCACACTCAAAAAAGCATTTCCATAGCAAATACATAGGTAGCAAATGAAATGAGTTTTGTGTTTATTTCTGTTTTTGTAAGCCATTGAATTTTGGTTAGTTTCTTACCTAGCAAATACTAACTGTTACACAGAAGACACCAGAACTCAATAGTAACAAAATTATTTGGAAGAAAACATTTTAAATTACATGTCAAAAATAGTCAGTAGAAATTCAAAATCACACACAGAAGTTTTGAAAATCACACAGAATGACAACTGGATGGACTTCAGTGAGGTTGCTAGAGCTCACGGAGGCCACGTGAATTATATAAAGCAATTGGTTGCATCAGTAAACTGTGGTGTAAGTTTTTAAAATTTACTTTTCAAGTCATAAACAAATCTATTTACCTAAAAACATAAAACATAAAAAGGGTCTGTTACTTATAAGCAACTATTACACTGTAACTTAATTACATTTTAAGACATCGGTGTGGGGCCGACCCTGTGGCTCACTCAGGAGAGTGCAGCTGTGCAGCGCCAAGGCCACAGTTTTGGATCATATATAGGGATGGCCAGTGTGCTCACTGGCTGAGCACAGTGCAGGCGACACCAAGCCAAGGGTTACGATCCCCTTACCGGTCACAAAAAAAAAAAAAAAAAAAAAAGACATAGGTGTGGAGGAGAAGAGTGATGCAGTCTAATTTGGCCATTTTAAATAATGTTAAATAGGCTCCCATTATATCCTTGCAGATTTCATAATTTTTAAGAACAGATTACTGACATTAAGTGGAAAACATTTGTGTTGTAGACCCTTTGAAATCACATAATCCATAGAAAGTTTCAGAAATAAAAAAGGATAGTGATATTTAAGGCAAAGTATATTAAAGCAATGTTTGATCTGTTAATTTCATTCTCACAAAGATAATCACAAAGGTAAACAAACGCTTTTTTTATATATTTTTAATCTTAGTTTTATTATAACATAGTTGATTGTACATATATGTGGGGTTCAGAGTTGAATATCGATACCTGTGTGCAACATGTGATGCTCAAATAAGGATAACTGGCATGTTCAACAATATACAACGTCATCATTTTTCACAGCCCTTTATCAGTTCCTCCCTCCCCCTTCCCCTTTCCCACCTCTGGTAACCTCAGCTCTCCTTTCAAAAAGTTCAATGTATTAATGATTGTTTTTCTTTCTTTCTTTTAATTTATACATTTATTTTTTCGTGCCCACTTATGAGTGAAGCCATGCAGTCACTTATTTTGACTTAAGTGTGGCAAAAGGATAACATTAGCCAAAAAGTCAGGCTGTGTAACATCAACAGATTATGTGACCATGGGCAAATCTCATCTCCTAAAATCCATTTTGAAACAATCTTTCTAATAAGGTAGGAATAACGTGGCAAACACTTCC